ACAGGAACTTTGCTGCAAGACAGGCATATGTAACGATGACTTGGCGCAGATAAAGTCGTGTCTTATTTATACTCTGTTCTACTGACAACAGGCCAGCGAAAAATCTAACAATCTACAGCAAAACCATCAATTATTATGGGCGTTATAACGTAGGTGTGCAGCTGGACGAAACATACACGTCGAACCCCCCCAGACGATTTAAATCCCTGACGAAACATACACGTCGAACCACGGCAACGGGTTAACTGCTTTAGCTATGGCATGGCCCTTATTCAGTATTTCAGTATCCTGTTGCATCAGTATATCACTCCACTCATTTCTGTCACTAATGCAACCCAAAATCATTCACAATCTGTCTTTATTTTAAAATGCTATGCAATCACATTCAGTTACAACATGTTTCGACCTTACAAGGCCACATTCAGGCAATTGTTCATTAATTGAAACTGCTGCACTGCACCAGTTCATATGTCAGTGCAGTCCATGCTATTTTATATCATCGTTCACATTAAAATGTGTTTCAGTATGAACACTGTCTCTTTGCTCCGCGTTATTTTCATTTTGCAGCACCCATGTTATGCCCCCCTTTGTGTATAGTTCTCGTTAGTTGGCCACGTGTCCCTTGTGGACACGGACGCTGCAAAATGAAAATAACATGGAAGGAAGAGAGCATGTTGATTATCAAACAAACACATTATAGTGCAAATGACGATATGCAATAGCATGGGATGCACTGACATATGAACTGGTGCAGTGGGGCAGTTTCAATTAGTGAACAATTGCCTAAATGTGGCCTTGTAAGGCCGAACATATTGCAATTGAATATGATTTTAATAACATCTTAAATAAAGGAGAGATTGTGAACGATTTTGGGTTGCATTAAAAACTGAAATGAGAGAATGAGTGATCTTTGTTTAAATTAGCAGTAATAAGTTGAGATTTAAAAGTGTTTTGAACATGAGGAAATACAAGTTACACAGGCACATTGAAAAATGACGGCTATAAATTACATGGAAACGGACAGAAATCACACTTCTCTGTGACGGACAGATGGTCAGTCTTTTCCTCTCCATTTTGTGGCCATAACTTTTGCAACATGAATTTAACATATAGAATTATTATCTGAAAAGTAATATTTGCATATGTATGTACTACAACTTTCAAGCAATCGTATTGTGCATAAACTGCGAATAAATACGATTTATGAATGCAACTTTTGCTGCAAAATATACAAACATCGCCACTTTCCAGTATTTGAGCACTTGTCTTTCACTAGTTACGAGGGTTGTACTGAAAGTCGTGAGCAACAATTTTTTGTAAAGTATGTGGGTAGGCTGAAAAGTAATGCACACGTGCTTATAGAGCGCAAACAAAAACAAATAGCAAGATCGGGAAAAAAATACATTAAAGTACAATTCTTAAGTTTCAAAAGCATATATTTATTTTTCAGCATAGTCATCGTTAAGGCTAACACATTTCTCCCAACGTGTAACAAGTTTTTTTCATTCCGTCACTTTTCTTCTGACTTTTCTCGAATCCAGGACTTGACAGCTGCCTTCACCTCATCGTCCGAGGTCTCTCTTGAGTAGAGGAAAAAAATAAAAATCGCAAGGCACAAGATCGGGGGAATAAGGAGGGTGTGGAATCAGTTTAAACTTCAGGTTTTTCAGAGCCTCTTCAGTTGCGCACGAGGTGTGTGGACGAGCGTTGTCATGTTGCAAGATTATTGGTGCCAGGCTGCCTCTTAACACAACAAACTCGACGCCGGAGGTTTTTAGAGTCTGTATGTACTGAGAAGAATTTACCGTTGCCCCTCATTCCAGAAAATCGGTCACATAAACTCGGTGAGCATCCCAAAACACAGTCAAAAGAAGTTTTTTGGCGAATGGTTGTGTTTTGAACGTTTTCGCCTGAGGAGAAGACGGATGTCCATATTCAGCATTCTGTGTTTTCTCTTCTGGGTCGTAACGATGGACCCATGACCTGTCCCGTCACAGTATTCAAAAGAAAGTCGTCTCCTTCGTCACGGTAGCGCTGCAAAAGTTGCTCGCAGTATTCCAGTTGACGCTGTTTGTTCTCGTCTGTGAGACGGTGTGGTACCCATTGTGCACAGATTTTACGGTATCCCAATTGTTCAATAATGAAGCCGACACGTTCCTTGGATATTCCAATATGGTTTGCGATACGCTTTTGAGTGATTCGCCGGTCATTTTGAATCAAATCGTCGACGAGTTTGAGATG